TCCATTTACACGCGCCAACCCGAAGTGGTTTTCGGCCACTTCCACCATTTTTTTAGGTAAAATTCAACTATCCATCACCTGCAACCTCTTCCACCATCTCCCATCTTCCACCCCAAGTTGAGGGTTTTTAGGTCCAAAACCGTGTAAAAACCGTGAGGTGACCCATGGAGCTTTGACGGCAATTATGCCGTTCTGGTGAGTTTCACCACCCACCACCACCCTTAGTCAACTCCCCTTGAACCCAGGAACAAGACCCAATAGGTTGTAGGGGCGTTGGGACACCAAGGAAGTCGAATTGAAGAACACCTACCTTAGGGTTCCGGAGGTTCGTGGCCAGTTTGGGGTGTTTTTCGGTCAAATTGGCCTTGACCGCAGGTATAAAGTTTAATCTACTTGTTGAGATCTTCATTCTTGTAAAATTTGAGAATTTTTGGAAAAAGTCGAATTTTCCTATATGTAACATTCGATTTATGAAATACTGTTGGTTGAGTTTATTTTTGATAAGGTCCGCTACTTGAATATTGTAACAATTGACGATCTTACCATTGAATTGACACCAAATTTTAGTATGCTATTGTAGATATGGTTTAGGGATTATTATCTTAATTTCTTATATTAGTATCATTTGTAAATATGAATTGGTCTTATAATTATGATTTCTATTGAAATGTGAATTTTATATATTTAGCCATAGACCTATGCTGATTAACTATGATTTGGCTTGTGTACTGATGATGTTTGTGATATATATGTGTTTAATTATCTTTTTAATAATGTGAATGATAATTATGATGAATGTTATGACAATTATGGGATCTAAATATTGTTTGATAATTATTTGGTTATGCTTGCCAGCTGAATACCTATTTGAACTTGGCATTACTACCTAGCATGAGATGGAAATGGAAGTCAAGAGATGAGTTAGGTACTTTATTAGATTTTTAGTAGAAATAGTAATTAAGGGATTCCTTGTGTTGTGCTCCATCTGACTTGATGCTGGTTGATATGTGGAATCGATAGCATGTGTGCGTATAATTATGTTTAATGTGTGATGATGAGATTGCACCACGTAGTTGTGGTACATGAATGGTCCTGCTTGGTATATCCGCAATGGGGGCACCGTATGTATTCATGGGTGATCATGTTTGGTATATCTGTGATGGGGGACCATACACATTCTAGAGGTGATGATGACTAGTTGTACATGGTACATTTTTAGGCGATCATATTTGGTTTCGTTCCGTTGAGTGGTTCGGAACCCGAGCTTGTTGGATTTTGTTGAGTGGTCTGAAATCCCATTATTTGGAGAAGTAGGCTTGGCCTAACTGTGTCACTCTAGCCTTAGTTTTATATATATTTATGTCAATGGTTTCAAGAATCTTGTGAATTGAGTTAGAAAAGATGTTGGACGTCTGGGTGACTCCTTCGGGATTTTCTACGATTCGATTATGATTTCATAAGGTATGAATTTAGAAGATATGAGAATGATTGTTATTACTTTGATCAAATTAATTAATTAATGTGGCTAGAGAATGGTTTTGTGTTTCGTCGGTTCTTAAATATGATGTATGTTGTGAATTGTGCTATCATGATGAGACATAATGATTTATATGTTGGATGGAAGAGAAATCATGATTTCATGAGGGTTTGTTATGTAGCCTGAGCCCAGGAATTTCATGCTGTCAAGTTATAATAAATGTTTAAGGAATGTTATGTTTTTCTGCTTGAACTCAATGGGAGAAACGTCTGATTTTGTGAATAGTGAATTATGAATGGCTTGATCCCTATTGAGGGTACGTAGGCAGTCTAACGAGGAGGTTAGATGCAGCCATAAAGTATATGAAAAAATTATTTGCAATTTGATTCTCGAATTGTGATTTGCCATATCCCAGAGACGGGGTATATGAGATATACGAGTATTTAGGTGACGTCACGTGTCGATCCTGGACGTATGTTGGGATCGGGGCGTGACATAGGGAATGCACTGTTACAGAAAAAAATAATCGTCAAGAGATCATTACCTCATTGTTGCCTGCTTCAATCAATGTTTGCGGAATGGCTGGGCCTGGAGATCTGAGCCACAACTTGGATGACTCAACGAGAATGTGAGGCTCTTGGGCTTCTTGCTTCGTCATCTCTCCTTTTACGCTCCTCATCCTCATCCTCTTCCATCTCATTTTCGCCCCCTGGAGATTGAACATTTCTTCCCCTTGCTTAAACAATTATCTCTCTTGCTCATCGATTTCCCACAACAAACTTGAAGAAGACATTGTAAGAAGAAAGCAGAAACTATGAATAAGGATAAAGATTTTGATTTTGGTGTGTGATTTCTTAGGATGGATGGTGGGTTATATGGAGGAAAAATAAAGGATTAGGTTGTAGACAATGCCACGTGGCACGCCGTCATTCGTTAAAAATCTGATAGAAATTTATTCTCAAATATTGTAAACAGATTGTGAAACGTGGCGCGACATGATTGGTTAAAAATCTTATTGGAAATCTATCCTCAATGATTCTAAAAAGGTAACAACACTTGGCGTGACGACATTGGATAAAAATCTTATCAAAATCTATCACCAAAAATTGTCTTTTCGGATAATGAAATGTGGCGTAACGAGAACGATTAAAATCTTATCCGAAATTACAAATAAAATTATTTTGTACTATTCTATAAAATAAAAAAATTTCTAATATTTTATTGCATATTGCCATGACTATTCAGTTTAGGGGTGGAGATGCAAAAGGCAATTACTGTTCACTGAAGGGGATTCAATAAGCAGTTGCCCATTCCTACAATAGAGTTGCTCTTATGCACAAACTCTCTTTTATGCGAAACTTCTTAAACATCTTGAGATTTTTATTTTACTCTTTTATAGCCAACACATCTTTAGTTTAGAAGAGGTCATCTTATCAGGCTTCTCGACGAAGTGAGGTGTTATCAGATTAGGACATTCGGCACACTGAAGGCCGAATCTGATTTTGAACTTCGCAGAACTAGCAGCTTTGTCTTCAAGCTCTAGAACCCGAAGGTCGAGACGTGTTCCTTCTTCGACTGCAGTCTCAAGATTCAGAAGTAATTAGTGCGCCCAACACCACATCAACATTCGTTTTGCTCCTCGGCCAAGCTCGGCCGATGAGTTAGCACGCTCTGCATTCAACCGAATGACGTTGTTAGCTTATTAGCTATTCGGCCTATGTACCATATAGGCTAAGTAGTTTTTAAGTTCAACAAATGCGCAAACATTTTATCAATTAAGGAATTGTTGTCGTATGACAAATCATGTTGCGTACATTTTGAGGTAACAAAGTAATTTATTAAGTGCTCTCAAATGCCCTTATCGAGTGTTATTGAGACCTGAGTTCTGCCAAAATACGTTGAACATATATTACATTGAATATTTGATGGACACAAAAGGGCTTTACATCAAACATTTTGAGGAGTCCTTATAAGCATGATTCCAAGTTTCCGTGGGTCCCAGGACCACGTATTGATACCTCTTGTATCGATGACAGTGTTCTAAAAATCGGTCTAGGGGGCGCCTAGGCGCTAGGCGGTGGCCAACTGTCGGGATTAATGCAAAATCGTTACAGGGATTACGCGGGCGTCGAGGCGGCCTGAGTGGCCTAGGCGGGCATCTGGGTGGCCTAGGCGGTCTGGGAATTTCAATTTTTTCTGTGTTCGAACTTGAGAAAGGATGAATGCTTCTAGTTTGTGTTCTAGTTTTTCAGTTTCTGGACTTCATGCTTCTTGTCTGTGCTCTTGCGAAGAGGAAGAAGATGAGAGAAAGTTAGTTTCTCTCTCTTCCTTCAACACCCACGTGATCACTTTTAAACTATTTAAATTTTTTTTTTTTTTTTGTTTCTGTCCATTCAAGTTTGGACAACTAGCATCTTGACTTTTCTTAAAGTAAAAAGGCTATCAGTTCATCCATAGCATCAAGTGCTATTAATTTTTTTCTCATTAAAAAAACATAGATCGTTAGGCTATCGGTTCATAGTATCAAGCGCTATTGATTTTTTGGACTTGTTAGATACGCATTTTATTATTCTTTTAGTATCTTATTCAAGGATTTCATACAAGTATAATTTTTTTGTAAGTGTCAGTATACACTTATTTACAAGATATACAAGAAATTTACCTAAATCCGCCTAGGCGCTCGCTTAGACCCCGCTTAGCCGCCTGACTAGCGTTTAATATTTTTTAGAACCTTGATCCATGAATAAAAAACTCCACAAATCCTTCGTCAGACTCATAAGAGTGTTTTTCAAAAGGATCGGATCGAAACTAGGCTTCCATTCGATCCGAGATTTCAAAATTGGATCGGATCGGAACACAATTTTCAAATTAACATTTTCGAAAATTTAGTAAGCTGAGTAATCTTCTAAAATTTCGGAACTTAATTCAGAAATTCAGATATTTCACAAGTTTTTAAATATTATCCATCTTTTTATTACATGTAATTTATTTGGTGGTATACTAGTATGATTATCCATTTTAATATATAAAAGTACGTTTAATATAAAACAACGAACAAGATATATTTAAAGCAAACACTAAAATACAAAAGTTGGTAACAAAGTACGTAATTTGGGTACACAATTATAAGAAATCAGAATGTTTCGAAAGTTTTTTTTTATCGGAATCAGTTCGAAACAATTTAGCATTAGGAAATTTTAGAGTTGTAGGATTCGCTAAGTGCGTTCCGGTTTTCGTTGCAATAAAAATATTCGAATTCGAAGTTTTCGTGTTCAAATTCTGTAATCAGTAACCCATTCCAACCTGCACCCTGCTTCGTCGGGAGCAAGGGGTCTCTCTGAATGCTTATCTTGAGTCTCCTTCCCGGGTCAGAATCTTTCGCGTTCCAGTTATTATAACTGAATACAGGAGAGCTCCGCTGTAATTATCCGGTTTTGAATCTCAGCAGACGATCCGAGTCGCAATTTGTGATTTGATGATGCATTTATTATTCATTTAGAGATATGAGAAAGACCAAAAAATCGAAGAAAAAAACAAAGAGCTGATTTATTCTATATTATTATGTACAACAAATTTCAATCAAAAGCCAACAGAATTAATTCGATCCCAAGACAGATCAAAACAAGCAAAGATTGGCTGATTGATGGCATTACGAATAAATAAATAAAAGTGAAAAAAGAAACCTGATCATTCAATATCGTCCACAAACTGTGATTGATCATCGAACCTGATCATGATTTACTATCTAGTACCTCCTGCAGAAGATTCAGGCCTTGCGCCGATATACTCCTCTTGAATTTTAACTTTGGGATCTCAAGCAATGGGGGTGGATCTGCCGAGAAGCATACCACAACCACCGTCAGGTTATTACACGAATTGCGCTTGAGTGCCTCCCGAACCAGCTCTCTTGAGCATCTCTCGGGATCATTGTGGATCATTAGTTCTTTCCTTGCCATTGTGACTGCACACTGGCTGCTCATCACATCCCACAGCCCGTCACAGCCTAGGATTAAGAATTCGTCTTCCTCACTCAGAATTATCTCCTCGAGCTCTGGCTCTGCACTCAAGGGACACAAGGAACCTTTGGAGCCTTTCATGTCTTTCACGTGCCAGTCCCCAAGAGCTCGTGCCACAGATAATTGACCGTTGAGGTGGCCATCAAACACCACGCCTCCCAGTTTCTCGATTCTCACTCTTTCGGAGGCACAATTGGGTTTATGGTCTTTGGAAAGCTCAATTGCCCGAACTCTTCTTCCCAGAACAGCTCGGCAATCTCCAGCATTTGCAATTAGCATCGTCCTGAAAAGGAGAAATCATATGTAAATCACAATGATGCCACTTGTAAAGACACAACAGGAAGAAAACTCTGGTCAAATCCTACAAGCCTTCAATACATTCTTCTTACAGAATAACTTGTCAAGTTTACCTGGATATGACTTATATGTTATAGCCAGACATCTATTGCACAATGGAAGCGTTTAAAAAGTGACCCACTGCCTCCAACTAAAACGTTTATTACCATGTTACAAGCCTCTATATTGATTCCAGGAGTTGTACAGCCATGAAAGTATTCCTGGATAAAAGCACATTGGATGACAACAGAAAGAAGTGTGGTTGGAAAAGATGAAATTTTACCTGTGGACTTCGCATAATAAGATAGCTCATAACATAGAAGGATCACAATAGAATTCAAACGTTACATTAACCAAAATTACACATTAGCAATTGTTCAAAAATTTGTTTCCAACAACCCAAAAAAAAAAAAAAAAAGAAATCACATAGAATGCTCCAGGAGAAGTGAAGTTCGCAGTTGCACGTAGATGATCAAGAATATTGTCTATACAAACATACTCATCCTCCATATATGGCTTCGGTCCAATCTCCGAGCAGCTTCCAGAGCGAAAAACGGGTACAAAAGCTGAGTTACTATCTGATGGAGACTTTGAGCTAACAATCCCAACATCCAACTCCTAAGCAAGGAGTGAATAGGCAACATCAAATTTCATGCCCATTTAATATGAAATGAACGATAAAAAAAGCTGCAATTGTTATAGCAGATAGAAGTCAATCTCACCACTTCAGCTGCAGGAGACAACTGGGCAGAGCTTACGCAACACCTAATAGCTGAGAGGTGACGAGGAGGTCTGCCAATGTTCGGTTGCTTCAAGTTCTCAAAAGTACTTGATTTCCCGTCTCTTGTAACAGTAACGTTCTCCTTTCTATAACTGCCATCCAACATGGAAAGTGCCTGCAGGTAATCAGTCCCTGCAGCCATTTTCTCCCCAAAACATAATCCACCACCGGATAAATAACTGGACCTCAAGTATACCCTTTCAAACACTCCTTTTCGCATAGAACAAGTTCGAACTTCAGGAGCTTCGTACTATTCTCAAGCAAACAAATGTTCAATGCCAGGAACAGACCCAGTATAATACCACGCAAAGCTTCAATTATCCGTCTTCCTTTTGCGTTGTTTCTTCAGATTATTTGTTGGGTACCTGAGCAGAAAATTACCAGAAAATTCTCAACTCACTTCTCAATAACTTGTTGAGCTAAAAGTTAGAAGATCAAACAGCCCAGTTAATCAATATTGAACCACAAGTTACAATCTTAAATTGTACTGGAAACTGTAAACTCCCTAAAAAGCATACAACCTTGAAATTTCCAGACTAACCGCAAATCCACATCTCAACCAAACCACCAAATCAGCCACAACCTTATCAAATTTCAGGGTATAAAACACAAAAATTTAAAAAAAAAAAAAAAAAAAAAAAAAAAAATCATGACTTTATTCTATTTCTGTTAAGCACAAAGTCCAAAGCTATTATTTTTACAAAACAAATCATATAACTCATAGATTCAGAACTACAAAAATCAAATCCTATCGAGTGTTATTGAGAGCCGAGTTCTGCCAAAATACGTTGAACATATATTACTTCGAATATTTGATGGACACAAAAGGGTTTTACATCAAACATTTTGAAGAGTCCTTATAAGCATGATTCCAACTTTCCCTGGGTCCCAGGACCACGTATTGATAACACTTGTATCCATGAATAAAAAAGACAAGTTTTAACGAGAAGTCGGTACTATTTATTTTAACGAAAAACCACATTTTTACACTAAAAAATCAATCTTGTACTATTCACTTTACCCTTTATTTTGTTATTATCGTTAAAACTCAAAGTTTTCAAGCTCTTTTCATTAGTTTTCCTTAAAAAAAAAAAAAAAAAAAAAAAACTCCACAAATCCTTTGTCATGGATAGGCCTGGCAATTTCTGACACGACCCGATAACCCGACACGAAATTAACAGGTGTTTGGGTCGACACGATAACGAATCGGGTCTTATCGGGTAACCCGATAAGCACCTGTTAAGATAACGGGTTGGGTCGGGTATACACGTGGGTAAACACGATACACGATAAGCAGAATATTATTTTTATAATTTTATAACCCTAAAAAAATACTGTAATAATTATATACATTAATTTTACAATTTTATACCCCTAAAAATTATAATAAATATATATATATATATATATATATTAAATTAACTATAAAATTTATAATAATTATAATAATTATATATACTATAATTATTATACTCCCAAAATATTAAGTCTATCTATACTAATTATATATATATATATATATATATATTAAATTTTATAAAAACTATAATAATTATTAATTAATAATTTAATATGCATGATCATGCATTGCATATTTGCATGATTTTGCATCCATTGAAATTTGATGCGTCAGGACTCAGATGTGATTTGTTTCCATTCTCAAATTTCAATAATCAATTTCTTACCATTGCCATTTGCCAACTTGCCGCCCTTTTTGAAAAAAAAAATGGAGGGAAAATGAAAATGTTAAGAAAAGTTGAAAATAAAACAAAAAAGTGAGGGAATTAGGGAAAGATGTTGGAGGGAAAAGTGAAAATGATAAGAAAAAGTTGAAAAGGAAACAAAAAAGAGAGGGAAAAATGAAAATTAATAGAAGTGGTGAGAAATTTTTTTGTTTTTTTTAAGTTATTAACTTTTTATCACACACATGACTGTCATGACATATCTCACTATTTTTATAATGACACACGTGACACGTGATGTATGTACTATTCCGTGTACCAGTCAATTATAATTTATACGTACAAAATAAATAGATTTAAATCTACTTAATAAATATATATATATATATATACACACACATACACACACGGAACTTGATTGATGGCATACGAATTCTCCAAAACTAATTTCAACGATCCCAACCGTCAAACTTGTTTGTATATGCTTTGAGATCACATCAACAAAAAATCATAAAAAATAAACATTCTGAGATCAAGTAACGGGACAAAGCTTTTCAACGGTTATAAAAGAAAAATCACGATTTAACGGTTATTTTAACTCTGATTTTGATGATTTTTTATAACTACACTCCTTGACCCTATATGAATACAATGAATGAATTCGATCTTCAATTTAAAATATTTACACAAGTGGATACCACAAAATCTTTTGTTATACTTAATGAAAGTATAAATAAACTCTAAGTGTTAGTCAATCTATCGTTTTACGAATTCTCCAAAACTAATTTCAACGATCCAAACCGTCAAAATTGTTTGTATATGCTTGGAGATCACATCAGCAAAAAATCACAAAAAAAAAACATTCAGAGATCAAGTAACGGGACAAAGCTTTTCAACGGTTATAAACGAAAAATCACGATTTAACGGTTATTTTAACTCCGATTTTGATGATTTTTTATAACTACACTCCTTGACCCTATATGAATACAATGAATGAATTCGATCTTCAATTTAAAATATTTACACAAGTGGATACCACAAAATCTTATGTTATACTTAATAAAAGTATAAATAAACTCTAAGTGTTAGTCAATCTATCGTTTTACAAATTCTCCAAAACTAATTTCAACGATCCAAACCGTCAAAATTGTTTGTATATGCTTGGAGATCACATCAGCAAAAAATCACAAAAAAAAAAAACATTCAAAGATCAGGTAACGGGACAAAGCTTTTCAACGGTTATAAACGAAAAATCACGATTTAACGGTTATTTTAACTCCGATTTTGATGATTTTTTATAACTACACTCCTTGACCCTATATGAATACAATGAATGAATTCGATCTTCAATTTAAAATATTTACACAAGTGGATACCACAAAATCTTATGTTATACTTAATGAAAGTATAAATAAACTCTAAGTGTTAGTCAATCTATCGTTTTACGAATTCTCCAAAACTAATTTTAACGATCCAAACCGTCAAAATTGTTTGTATATGCTTGGAGATCACATCAGCAAAAAATCACAAAAAAAAAACATTCAAAGATCAAGTAACGGGACAAAGCTTTTCAACGGTTATAAACGAAAAATCACGATTTAACGGTTATTTTAGCTCCGATTTTGATGATTTTTTATAACTACACTCTTTGACCCTATATGAATACAATGAATAAATTCGATCTTCAATTTAAAATATTTACACAAGTGGATACCACAAAATCTTATGTTATACTTAATAAAAGTATAAATAAACTCTAAGTGTTAGTCAATCTATCGTTTTACGAATTCTCCAAAACTAATTTCAACGATCCAAACCGTCAAAATTGTTTGTATATGCTTGGAGATCACATCAGCAAAAAATCACAAAAAAAAAAAACATTCAGAGATCAAGTAACGGGACAAAGCTTTTCAACGGTTATAAACGAAAAATCACGATTTAACGGTTATTTTAACTCCGATTTTGATGATTTTTTATAACTACACTCCTTGACCCTATATGAATACAATGAATGAATTCGATCTTCAATTTAAAATATTTACACAAGTGGATACCACAAAATCTTATGTTATACTTAATGAAAGTATAAATAAACTCTAAGTGTTGGTCAATCTATCGTTTTACGAATTCTCCAAAACTAATTTCAACGATCCAAACCGTCAAAATTGTTTGTATATGCTTGGAGATCACATCAGCAAAAAATCACAAAAAAAAAACATTCAAATATCAAGTAACGGGACAAAGCTTTTCAACGATTATAAACGAAAAATCACGATTTAACGGTTATTTTAACTCCGATTTTGATGATTTTTTATAACTACACTCCTTGACCCTATATGAATACAATGAATGAATTCGATCTTCAATTTAAAATATTTACACAAGTGGATACCACAAAATCTTATGTTATACTTAATAAAAGTATAAATAAACTCTAAGTGTTAGTCAATCTATCGTTTTACGAATTCTCCAAAACTAATTTCAACGATCCAAACCGTCAAAATTGTTTGTATATGCTTGGAGATCACATCAGCAAAAAATCACAAAAAAAAAACATTCAGAGATCAAGTAACGGGACAATCTTAAAAACAAAAACTCTTTATCCTTGCACATTTAATATTTGTAATAGATTAGTAGTGTAAGTATTATTTTTTTTATTAGGCTTTCATTTTCGAGTGTAGATATAATACTTGAACGAGAAATGTTTTAATGTTTTCAAGTAATATTTATGTCGCAATGTGTGGTATGTGCAAATTTTAAAAAAGTATATTTTTTTCTTAACGGGTCATAACGGGTCGGGTCACTTTACCCGTTGGGTAAAGTGATACGACCTGTTAAGGACCCGTTAAGATAACGGGTGTGACACGACACGACCCGTTAAGATAACAGGTGTTACACGAAAACGACACGAACACGACAGACACGACCCGTTTGCCAGGCCTAGTCATGGACTCGTAAGAGTGTTTTTCAAAATGATCGGATCGAAACTAGGTTTCCATTTGATCCGAAATTTCAAAATTGGATCTAATCGGAACATAATTTTCAAATTAACATTTTCGAAAATTTCGTAAGCTGAGCAATCTTCTGAAATTTCGGAACATGAATCAGAAATTCAGATATTTCACAAGTTTTTAATATTCTCGATCTTTTTATTACATGCAATTTATTTGGTGGTATACTAGTATGATTATCCATTTTAATATATAAAAATGCATTTAATATAAAAACAATGAACAAGATATTTCTGAAACAAACACTAAAATACTAAAGTTGGTATCAAAGTATGTAATTTGGGTACACACTTATAAGAAATCAGAATGTTTCGAAATTTTTTTTATCAGAGTAAGTTCGAAATAATTTAGCATATAGGAAATTTTAGAGTTGTAGGAATCGCTAAATGCATTCCGGTTTTCGTGTCAAATAAAAAATATTCGAATTCGAAATATTCGTGTTCAAATTCTGTAATCAGTACCCCATTCACCCTACTTCGTCGGGAGCATGGGGCCTCTATGAATGCTTATCTTGGGTCTCCTTCCCGGGTCAGAATCTTTTGCGTTCAAATTATTATAACTGAATACAGGAGAGCTCCGCTGTAATTATCCGGTTTTGAATCTCAGCAGTCGATCCGAGTCGAATTTGGTTGTTTTAACAGAAGCGCTGATTTATTCACTATATTATTATGTACAACAAATTTCAATCAAAAGCCAACAGAATTAATTCGATCCCAAACAGATCAAAACAAGCAAAGATTGGCTGATTGATGGCATTGCGAATAAATAAATAAATAAAAGAGAAAAAAGAAACCTGATCATTCAATATCATCCACAAACTGTGATTGATCATCAAATCTGATCATGATTTACTATCTAGTACCTCCTGCAGAAGATTCAGGCCTTCCGCCGATATACTCCTCTTGAATTTTAACTTTGGGATCTCAAGCAACGGGGGCGGATCTGCCGAGAAGCATACCACAACCACCGTCAGGTTATCGCATGTATTGCGCTTGAGTGCCTCCCGAACAAGCTCTCTTGAGCATCTCTCGGGATCATTGTGGATCATTAGTTCTTTCCTTGCCATCGTGACTGCACACTGGCTGCTCATCACATCCCACAACCCATCACAGCCTAGGATTAAGAATTCGTCTTCCTCGCTCAGAATTGTCTCCTCGAGCTCTGGCTCTGCACTCAAGGGACACAAGGAACCTTTGGAGCCTTTCATGTGCCAGTCCCCAAGAGCTCGTGCCACAGATAATTGACCGTTGAGGTAGCCATCATACACCATGCCTCCCAGTTTCTCGATTCTCACTCTTTCGGAGGCACAATTGGGTTTATGGTCTTTGGAAAGCTCAATTGCCCGACCTCTTCTTCCCAGCACAGCTCGGCAATCTCCAACATTTGCAATTAGCATCGTCCTGAAAAGGAGAAATCATATGTAAATCACAATGATGCCACTTGTAAAGACACAACAGGAAGAAAACTCTGGTCAAATCCTACAAGCCTTCAATACATTCTTCTTACAGAATAACTTGTCAAGTTTACCTGGATACGACTTATATGTTATAGCCAGACATCTATTGCACAATGGAAGCGTTTAAAAAGTAACCCACTTCCTCCAAGTAAAACGTTCATTAACATGTTACAAGCCTCTATATTGATTCCAGGAGTTGTACAGCTATGAAAGTATTCCCGGATAAAAGCACCATGGATGACAACAGAAAGAAGTGTGGTTGGCAAAGATGAAATTTTACCCGTGGACTTCGCACAATAAGATAGCTCATAACATAGAAGGATCACAATAGAATTCAAATGTTACATTAACCAAAATTGCTTATTAGCAATTGTTCAAAAATTTGTTTCCAACAACCCAAAAAAAAAAAAAAAAAATCCTGTATGCTACAAGGAGTCCTTACAAAAACTAATATACAATCATAGACAGAAATGCAAGGGCATGATTGTGTTTACGCCAATACAATTTGAAATCACTTTACCAACAAAAGATAAGAAAAGACACGGTAGAATAATAGTAGGTCTCACCTTCCAGAGATGAGGGCCGTAAGTGCAGTGGTACCAGAGGAACTATCAAGACCACCGGTAGCAGCAAAAACAACGTCAGCATTTAGAAAAGCGCTCTTCATAGCCTTCTTAGTACATAACGGGAAATGCGGATCCTCAACTATAAACCTTAAAATGTTCTCTCTGATAAACGAAGCTGCATCAGTACCACCATGGCCGTCAAAAACCTGTGATAAGAGGAAAGGTTGACACATAATGGCATGTCAGGTAGTTGTAGACACAGAAAAATCACATGAAAGTAGCATTAATGTTTATGATCACAACTTTACACACCCCATAGAATGCTCCGGGAGAAGTGAAGTTCGCAGTTGCACCCAGCTGATCAAGAATATTGTCTACACAAATATGCTCATCCTCCATATATGGTTTCGGTCCAATCTCCGAGCAGCTTCCAGAGCGAAAAACAGGTACAAAAGCTGAGTTACTATCTGATGGGGAATTTGAGCTAACAATCCCAATATCCAACTCCTAAGCAAGGAGTGAAAAGGCAACATCAAATTTCATGCCCATTGAATATGAAATGAATGATAAAAACTGCAATTGTTGTAACTGATAGAAGTCAATCTCACCACTTCAGCTGCAGGAGCCAACTGGGCAGAGCTCACGCAACACCTAATAGCTGAGAGGTGACGAGGAGGTCTGCCAATGTTCGGTTGCTTCAAGTTCTCAAAAGTACTTGATTTCTCGTCTCTTGTAACAGTAACGTTCTCCTTTCTATAACTGCCATCCAACATGGAAAGTGCCTGCGGGTAATCAGTCCCTGCAGCCATTTTCTCCCCAAAACATAATCCACCACCGGATAAATAACTGGACCTCAAGTATACCCTTTCAAACACTCCTTTTCGCATAGAACAAGTTCGAACTTCAGGAGCTTCGTACTATTCTCGAGCAAACAATTTTTCAATGTCAGGAACAGACCCAGTATAATACCACGCAACAGCTTCAATTATCCGTCTTCCTTTTCCGTTGTTTCTTCAGATTATTTGTTGGGTACCTGAGCAGAAAATTACCAGAAAATTCTCAACTCACTTCTCAATAACTTGTTGAGCAAAAAGTTAAAAGATCAAACAGCCCAGTTAATCAATTGAACCACAAGCTACAATCCTAAATTGTACTGGAAACTGTAAACTCCCTAAAAGGCTAACAACTTTGAAATTTCCAGGACTACCACAAATCCGTATCTCAACCAAACCACCAAATCAGCCACAACCATATCAAATTTCAGGGAATAAAACACAAAAACCAAAAAAAAAATCATGACTTCATTCTATTTTTGTTAAGCACAAAGTCCAAAGCTATTATTTTTACAAAACAAATCATATAACTCGTAGATTCAGAACTACAAAAGTCAAATCCAAATACAGAAACCATCACAGACCAAGCAAAAAACTTAAGCAGAAAAAAAAAACCCAAATTAACAAAACTGTTTACTCGAAACCCCCAATAACTATCACACACCATAGATTGCAACTCTTCAACCATAAAGATTCAAACTTTAGACATAAAAAAGATAAAATCTGGAGAAAATAGTAGGTGGGTGATGAGATTATGAGATGAAAAATACTTGCCGTACTGTTTTGGTTAGCTTGACAAAACCTCCAAAGATCCTGAAAGAGAAATTGGAAATTGATGGGAACAAACAAGCCCACAAAACCCTCGAAGCTTTCAACTCAAAAATTGGAAAAATGGTTTTTATTTTTTTATTTAGAAAGATTTTTTGGTTTGATATGTTTGTACGATTTGATGTTGAAAGAGTTTGATGAATGAAGAAAACAAAGGGCAACCGGCTACGTGTGCTTTTCAACCGGTAATTGCGGGTCGCCCGGTGGATTCGTAGATACGGACAGCTGCGAAACCGACACGTTGCGGGGGTGGGGTTTTGATACTTCGGTTGGTAACCGGATGTTGGGAAGCGAGCGTGGTGGGAGTTCAACAATTGCGGCTGGGTGTTTTTTCATCCGTTGGATTAGAACAGTTGGTGATTGACGGCGAGATGAGGACTGACGGTTTTCACCAAACGTGGAAAAACTGGTAGTTGACGGTCGTTGACGGCGCCGATCTTTTTATTCATGTTTTCAAAGCGGTAAAACTGGAAAATAGGTTTTTGCAGAAAGTGGATATTCTAATTCCTAAATATTCCACACCAATGCCATCCAGACACATCACATTATTTGTAATTTCATTTTTCATGGATTAGATACCTTAATTTCTCTAATTATATTTTGGCTTTTTAGGATTTTTTTTAGCACACAGATATTTTTTACATTAAGGGAGAGGGGAGTTCAACGGGTAACCTAATTTGGTATCGAATTTGCTATCCACGAGATTCGAACATAAAACCTCTCACTTCCCATAGGGATAGCTCCAGATCATAGTACTGACTGGCGACTTTTTAGGATTTTGATTATCATGTTTCCTTTCAACCACAATAAATAGGAAAGTGTCATTCACACATCCATTTTTTCTTCCCACACACTCTTGTTAATTTTTTAATAATGATTTTCTTTAATTTATTCAATCCGACGGTTGAAAATTAAAAGAGATATATGAGAAGTAAAAATGAATGTATGAATAACACTGCCCTGAGATGTTAAAGAGAAAGGCCTTTCACAATTTCATTTTCACATTAATGAGCCCAAGAAATTAAAGGGCATTTTCATAGTATATTGTGTGTTTGATAGGGGAGATTGAGACAACTCACCAACACAAGAAATTCTTGGATATCTTCATTGACACAAGATAAATTCATCGACAAAAAAATCCATCTAAATTTCTCAATCCTCACATGTTGAAAGTTTTAGGTGTGGCTAACCTATATGCGATTTCTAACCCGTTATGAATGAAATCTCCACATTTGAAATTGTCTAAATTATATATAGGTAATTCATCCATGCCACAATAAAATGTTACATTTTTTTATCAAGGGTTGATGAGCTATATATGTCATTTACTCAAACTTGATCAATTCAATTGTGTCCATACCTTTTTTCAAGTTCTTTTTAGTAAGTAAAACATGGTTTTTGATTCATATTTACAATTTCCATGGATTTTCTTCTATATTAGAAAAAACTTAGAAATGTTCATAACTGTGCACATTTTTTTTGTGAGTATAATATGTGGAATATTTTTGCAAAGCTTTATATGATTGTAACTTTAACGTTTCATCAGCACATGCATTTGCTATGTAGAAAGAGTAGGCTTCTCAATTGCATACACAGCAGCAGCCGATGCAGCTGGTGAGTCAATCCAGCAGAGGCACCATCCTCTCCACATTCTACTATGGCTACACCTGTTCCCAATTAGTCCAGGGAGGAATGGCGGTTCAGAAACTAGGAGGACAATCCGCCCTCCTCCTCTCATTTGTCACATGGTCTCTAACATATGCCTTCATCCAACTAGACCCTAATCGTGCCACGATCATGTTCCCCTCTTTCCACTCTGTCCACACGGTGGTTACCGCCTCACGAGCGGTCTAGGGCTGTTTCTGTCACACTTCTGGGATGTATCTCAGTGCGGCTACAGCAATGCTTGTGGTTCCAAGCCTTGTGAGACTGAAAAGCCCCCAGTTTGTGGTTGTGATTGAAGCAACTGTGTGGACTATTTGGTCTTCGGTCTGGTTGAACTATGCATTTGAGTTTGGACGTTGTGGGGAGAGTGAATCCTATATTTAAATAGAGATATATTTATACATAACTCATTTTCTAAAGAACATAAAATGGGTGAAATCGCAAGAAAAAAAATAGGGAAATTGACAAGAAATGACAAGGCCACACGTGAGATTGTGAGAGTAGGAGATCAAAGCATTACCATGCACTAAATAGAATCGAGTAGTATAGGTTAAGTCAATGGTAATGGCAAATGTTGACATGATATATGGGTTAGATTACGGGAAATTAGTAAGCTGGAAACATATTAGGAAATCAGAAAGAGCAAAAGTTGTTTGAAAGTGAAAATTTATTTGAATTCATTATTTTGTTTCTTTATAAAGCCCAAAAGTAAATTAATCTCAAATAAAGTCATCCTTTGAATAAAAAGTTTTTGTCGTGATGTGATCTGATAATTGGATATCTACGTAGAACATCAAATTATTTGGGTGGTGAGGTTTTGTCAAAAGACTTAATAAAGGAGAAAGACTACTTTTGCAGGCAGAGGAGCCTTGGGAATGGGTGCATGGTGCGCGGGAGAGTTTGAGAGTATCATTAATGGAGTTAGCAAATTTATCTTTTTTTTTAATTTTTAATTTTATTTTTTTTACAGAATCGATGGAGTATTTTAGTAAAATGAGTACATATTCTTTAATGATCATTTTTTTTTTATCAAGAGACAATACATATAAATTGCAAATAATTTTAAACCTCTATACAGGCACCGCAAAGACCACTGGAATAAGTAGCAATGCCCTTATAAATATAAAAGGTTAGTCGTTACCTTTTCAATTCAGTAATTGAGTTGCTACTTTAGAGACTATTTCTTCCTCTGTTGCATAGCAAATTTAATTTGTTACTCATTTGCTACTTTTATTGGAGATGTTCTTAGAGATGACTCATGATTCCTACACCACGTTCTTTCTGATGTAGCCAATAAATTGGATTATTTAATACAATAAAGATTAAAATGAAAGAAGTGACATTTAATAAAAAAAAAAGAAATGATTGAAGAATTGGTAACTCATGAGTTAAAGGATTGTTTACTTTTGTCATCTCCTAAAAGTGGATGTTATCGTTTTTTCAAGTTGTTCAACTTAATGTAACTTTGATTTGTTGTGCTAGTTTTGGCCTATAGAGCATGAATTCAAGAGAATGATGAGGTCTACAAGCTTCATGCAAATCAAGAAGCTGGATTAGAATTCGACAAAATAATGTTTAATTAATGAAAACGAGATTTAAGTTTTCAGGACTATAATTTTCATTGTTATATTATTTGTTTAATTTTTTTTTTTTATATTTGAACTCTAAGAATTATAAGTACCACCTTTATTACAGTGCTAGGTTTGTAATCTTTCATACTTTCAATCAATATTGTAAGTACCACCTTTAGAGTGCTAGGTTAGTAATCTTTCATACTTTCAATTAATAAATTTTAAACATTTCTCTATTTTTTTGTATATTTTTTTACTACTAATGGATTTCAGTGCATGTATTCGGATTTTATGTTTGTTGATCTTTTTTTGTTGTATATTCTGTTGGGTCAATTTTAAATACTAGTATGCAAAAAATGTTATAATAAGAGTCAACAGCGTTTTAGAAAGGTTAACACTATGATACATAATGCTATAAAAACAATTGAGGTAATTGTCGATTTGCTCCTTTAAACTTATAACCCACTGCCAATTTCCTCCTTCAACTTTTATATTTACCAATTTTCCCTGTAAAACGTTTATTTATACCACTATCGTTAAATTTTGAATTTTCCATCCAAATTTATAACATGGCAAACACATGAGCCATTAATAGGGGATTAAAAAGGGTGATATCAACGCTCATCTCCTAATCCAGCGTTCCCAACTTCATTCCTCCATTCACCATCCACTTCTTACCTAATTCCCCCAATATTAAGCTCCCAAATTGTTCTTATACGAGCGAAGTTGTGGTTTCAATGTAAATTTGGTAAACAGCATTGAAGGGACAGGGAGGAACTCATCCAATCAAATTAAAAATAAGATGAACTAAATTGAGATAATTGAATAGCAGTCCGAGACATGGATGACTTCCTTCACGAGGATGCGAGCAAAGAAAGCTTATTCCTAAGGTCATGGAAGTAAACTTAGCTATGAACATTGCAAACCCAAAACTTACTTCAGTTGCCTTGCCCATAACCTCATCGTACCCGCAAGCAAAATTGCAAACCCAAAACCACAATTATGTCAGTACACTCAAAGCAACACAAGTTACTCTGAAGGGCAGATTGAGATGGAGCAGCCGGAGACTCTTGGACGCACCAGTGCGTGCAAGTTGACCCAGCTAGACCATTTCCCTCAATATCGCCTCTGAAGTTTCGATATTGGCGCTAAGCTATCATATTAGTCGGGCAAACTCACATTTTTACATTAAGTAATGCTGCATACGAGTAATGCTACATTTTTCTCTGTTGCTTATAGGGTATTTTATAGCACATAAGGTGACATGTGATGGACAATTAACATCTAGTTAGATAAATACGACATTATAACATTAAATGAAATAAATGTCAACATTCAATGAGATAACATCATAAATTAATGTGACGGTTACAATCACTTGCCACTTCATGTGGTATGGAAACCAAACTCATGTTAGCCGCCAAGCGAGCCAATACCATTGCTCATCACTTAAATTGCTTACCTCTCCATGGATTTTCGTTGTCGGTTTGAGGATCCAACGGACCTCGTATCGGAAATGTCATCAGATGATTGTTGTGATTATTAACCAATTGACATTTGTCAGTTGTCTATTGGTTATAGTCACCATCACTCAATTAGTTAATACTGTTAGAGAGTTAGTTACAAAGGGTATTCTTGGAATAATCCGTGTATTTTGGATACTATATAACACATTGTAAAGGCTTGTGATAGAAATACAAAATCTTTTCCTTCATCCCTAAGCTTCTATCCTCCTCCTTCCATTTCTTCGTTTCTCAATGTCTCAGTGTTATGAGTAATTAGGTGGCTGCGTTTGCTTTGCTGCAGCTTTGTTGTTCCTTTGTTGCTATCGTTTCAACTGATAAAGAGTACGTCTTTCTCTGCCTTTTGAGTGTTTGCCAAATCCTCACCACGCCACCAAAATAAAAATCTGTTTGCCTACGTACATCCGATCACGCCAACACAATAACTTTTTATTCACAGGTTAACAAAATAAAATGGCATGTCACGAAGATCACGTTGGGTTTAAAGAAACAAATGATGGATTAAAATAAATACTCTTTAAATAATTAGCATGCAAACATTAATGTCGACAGCTTTTGGGCATGGAATTTAAGATTTGCTCTCTTTGGTCTCTTAATATATTTCCAACATGCTTCCTTCCCGTGATCTAACCTGTACATAGGTAATGCTTGACCCCTACTATCAAATTCTCTCCTGTGGCCATATCATCTTCTTATCTTTCTCCCTAACTTTCTCTTGTGATTTATTCAGTTCTTCACTAATTGTTTTATTCAAGATTTCTTCAATCAAGAACCATGGTCCCTGACTCTCAGTTAAAGATTCTTCAATCTCCGATTACGAGTTTGATTCCAAAGTCCTAACTTTTGTAGAAAGGGTCTCAAAACTATGACTGAGTATCTTCAGAGAGTCAAGCTGCTGGCAATCCCAATCCCTTAACTTCTGTTTGGGTCCATTGTTCACAAACTAATGCTCATATTCCTTGTGTTAGGAAAGGCAGAAAGTGCCAATCTTTCGTAGGCAATGCTTATGTAATTAGCGAAAGGTCTTCTTCTTCCTGGAGTTTGTCAAAGAGATATATCCTCTCCCTCGCTGTGGTCTCTATACACACACACACACACACATACACACATACGCGCGCGCGCACACACACGCACACACACACACACACACGCACACACACATATATAATATCGATCTCTTTGAAATGTTAAATTCTTATTTTTGAATATGCTATTGACCATTTTTGTGGTGTCATTAAGGGTACATTACATAATTTATCTTGTGGCTAGCTCAACAAATTAGTGTCGCTATTTGATCTTTAATCATAAATAACATGCCAACATTTTGTAGATTTTTAATGGTCCTGGTGGTGGAGCTGCAGCTTCTATTATCAGGGAGCACATTTTGAACTTCATGGTTGAGGATAAAGACTTTGCCTTTACATTAAGAAGGAAATTAGGGAAGCTTTCCAAAAAGCTGACCATGATTTTGTTGGTACTGGTACTCCTGATAGTTCCTCCATCACCAGTGCATTTATTGTCCTGTCCTGTCTTGGGAAGTTAGTATTCATTGAGATTGAGATCATTAATCTATGTTGTAATTTATCACATCTTGTTGTACCAAAGCCCGGCCATTGGTAAAATTTCATGTTTTGTGATTGTATATATAATTCTTTGTCAACTGTCTATTCTTACTTGTTCAAATGTGATGCGATCTGTATGATGTTCCTCCTTAGGAAGATGCTAATTGCAAATGTTGGGGTTGTCAATTTGTGATGGGAAGAAGAGGTAAGGAAGTTGTGCTGATTTCCGAAGACCTAGAAGGCTTCAAAGGTTCCTCAGGTCCCTTGCCTGCACAACCAGACATTCAGGAGATATTTATGAGTGAGGAAGATGAGTTCTCGATCCTAGCCTGGAATAACTATGATACTTGCAGCCCACATTTATTTGCACATGCAAGGAAAGAATTAATGGATAACAATGATTCGGAGAGATGCGCAAGAGAACTTATTAGGAAGGCACGCCGTTGGAGGTGGGGTACCAACATGAAGGATGTGGTGGTATGCTTCTCGCCCAACACACCGCCACCTTTGTCACCTTAGTTTGAGATTTCTGAACTCAGAATCTCAAAACTCAAAATCTCAAAACCATGCAAGTTCCGGAATTTGTTTTAGTTAGTTTATTTCTTTCTTTCTTTTTTTCCTTTTCAAAGTTTATAAAAGGTAATACGACATCTAACTTCTTTTGCAGGCTACTGACCTAGGTTGGATGCTTTTAATCACGGCCCTTTGCTTGGAGACACTTTCCATTTATTGTGATCAAATTTCCTCTCCACAAGCCAAAGTATGCAATATACGGTCTGGTGTTGACTTTTCAAGCTCTACTCGCCAACATGTCTGATCACAAGTGCAGAAGGAAAGAGTGGAATTTAGGAGGTGGTGGTTCTACTATCCACTCCCCCCTCATAGGCCTTTCGGTGATGTAATGGATTTTTCTTCACCAGCTGGTGGCATCTCCCAGTGCGTTTTTGCAACATTTCAGCATGCTTACATAATCCGGCACACCAAAGATCCTATCAAAGTTTTCATCGTGCCTGCGATCATTATTATATGCTTGATCATTTTTCAAAATTAAGAAAGCTTCGAAACAAGACCCGTGGGTACTATCACTCACAGATTGAAGAAGGGAGGAGAACTACGCTTAAGGGGCATATACCATAGGTTTTATACATATTATCTTTCTTACAATAGTTAAGAATTAAGAAAGATAATATGTATAAAACCTATGGTACATGCCCCTTAAGCGTAGTTCTCCTCCCTCTTGTGAGTGATAGTACCCATGGGTCTTGTTTCGAAGCTTTCTTAGTTTTGAAAAATGATAGAGCATACAATAATGAACGCAGGCAAGAGGAGAAGTTTGATAGGATCTTCGGCGTGCCCGATTATGTAAGCATGCTGAACTGTTGTGAAAACGCACTGGGAGATGCCACCAATTAGTGAAGAAAAATCCATTACATCACCGAAAGGCCTATATGGGGGAGTGGATAGTAGAACCACCACCTCCTGAATTCCACTCTTTTGCTTCTGCCCTTGTAAATCATCTCAGACATGTTGGTGTGTGGAGCCAGAAAAGTCAACACCGGACCGTATATTGCATACTTTCGCTTGTGTGGAGAGGAAACTTGATGACAATAAATGGAAAAGGTCTCCAGGCAAAGGGCCGTGATTAAGCATCCAACCCAAAAGAAGTTAGATGTCGTATTACCTTTTATAAATTTTGAATAGGAAAAAAAAAGAAAGAAAGAACTAACTAAAACAAATTTCGGAACTTACATGGTTTTGAGATTTTGTGTTTTGAGATTCTGAGTTCAAAACCTCAAACAAAGGTGACAAAGGCGGCGGTGGGTTGGGCGAGAAGCATACCACCCCATCCTTCATGTTGGTACCCCACTCCCAATAGAGTGCCTTCCTAACAATCTCTCTTGCGCATCTCCCTGGATCATTGTTATCCATTAATTCTTTCCTTGCATGTGTAAATAAATGCGGGCGGCAAATATTATAGTCATTCCAGGTTAGGATCAAGAACTCATCTTCCTTGCTCAGAAATATCTCCTGAACTTTTGGCGGTGCAGGCAAAGGACATGAGGAACCTTTGGAGCTTTCTAGGTCTTCGGAAATCAGCACAACTTCCTTATCTCTTCTTCCCATCACAACTAGACAATCCCCAACATTCGCAATTAGCATCTTCCTAAAGAGGAACAACATATGGATCACATTACATTTGAACAAGTAAGAATAGACGGTTGGCAAAGAATTATGTATACAATCACAAAACATGAAATTTTACCAGTGGCCGGGCAACAATAAGATGAGATAAATTGCAACATAGATTAGTGATCTAAATCTGAATGAAATTCAAATTGCCGTGCATACTAACCTTCCCAAGACGAGGACAGAAAGTGCACTGGTGATGGAGGAACTATTAGGAGTACCAATATCAGCAAAAGCATGGCCACCTTTTTTGAAAGCTTCCCTACTTGCCTTCTTAATGGTAAAGGTGAAATATGGATCCTCAGCTATGAAGTTAAAAATGTGCTCCCTTATAATAAAAGCTGCATATCTACCACCAGGGCCATTAAAAATCTACAAAATGTTGTCATGTTATTTATGATTAAAGATCAAACAGCGAAGCTACTCTATTGAGCTAGCTACAAGCTAAACTTATGTAATATACCCTTAATAACACCACAAAAAATGGTCAAGAGCACATTAAAACAAAATTTGACATTTCTAATAAATCGCTGTGTGTGTGTGTGTGTGTGTGTGTGTGTAGAGAGAGAGAGAGAGAGAGAGGATATGAGCAGTATAGTTTGTGTGCAAGTGGACCCAAAAAGCAGATAAGAGATCAGGATCGTTAGCAGCATTATAGTTTTGAGACCCTTTCTACAAAAGTTAAGACTTAGGAATTAGACTCGTAATTGGAGATTGAAGAATCTTTAACTGAGAGTTAGGGACCATGGTTCTCGATTGAAAAAAGCTTGAATAAAACAATTTGTGAAGAACTGAAGAAATCAGAGGAGGTATGTTGAGTCGGGAAAGATATTGAAAACTTCTGTGTGGGAAATCATGTGAATTTACAAGAGCGAATTCATATGAGTTGTCAAATTATGAACTGCAGCAATACTGAGTAAATGAGCTGGCACACAATTTGCTCAAAAATTCCTACTCTCAAACATCTTAGATCCCTCACTCAACCTTATATTTCTCTCATTGCTTTCAGAATTCAGTGTGTATATGTATGTATATGTATATATATGCTGACATGTATAAGAAGACATTCACATATGGTAAAGGACGGTAGAATGCTTTAATAATGGAATAGAGTCGAGATTATGGTGAGAAAGGATAGTAAATAGCTATCACTATGTAAATGAATTCAATTAGAACTCACTTTTTTGTTTTCTGTTTTGTAGCTACCTTTAGTTGGTGATCTCTTGTATTGGAATTTCCTCGTTTTTTGAGTTTCTGAAAAAAGAGAAAATGTTAATGCATTTATATGTGTGAGTATGCGCACGCTCTTCACTGATATTTCATTCTCATTTCTGTTCTCCCTCATTCATATGTAAATGCTTTGTTGTATCTTGTCCTCTGCCCATTGGTCATAAATATAGTACCTATGCTTTCTTTATCTTATTCTTGAATACCCACGTTGATTGGGAGATCATTTATTGTTTCAAGGTTGAAGGTGGTCTACATATTCATGAACTTGTCAATTTAATATGTTCTTAGTTGAAGTTGCAGAAGGGTTGCAGTGAATTTGTGGAGATTTTTGTATGGTAAATTATGACTGCAAACCCCTTGAAAATCTCCTATTCCCTGGTATTTATATGATCATATCTCAGTGTTGTCCTCAACTCTACTCACTTTTAGTTGGACTTGAGTTAACGTTTTTCTTACGAAATTTGTGGGTTTGATTTTGGATGCAGGCTACAGCTGATGATCAGATTCAAGTTATTGAGATGATTAAGCTCTTGGAAACAAAGGGTTCGAAGACTTTTTAAAGTTTGGTTCCAACATTTGTACAAAATTCTATAAAATATCAGTTATGTAAATTTATAATTGTATTCTTATATTTTAATGATATAACAATTTGTTTTCTCACCAAAAATAGAAAAAGAAATATGATACTCCAATTTGGGTGCCCACGCAGGGCATCTTTTTTTTAAATATTATTTTGCAACTTTGCCACCGATGTGAATTAGGGTGGCACTGCAGGAAATACACCAATGCAATATTGGTAGCCATTGTTACAATAGAGTCCTCTACATAGGCCACACTCTCTAATTTAGTGGGTGCTTGGTGGTCATAGAGGTTTGCCACCAATGTGAGTGGCAACACTTGACAATAGCCACCAATGAAAAGGGTGGCTTATAGCCAAATTTCTAGTAGTGAACCAAGATAAGACAATGACCATCAAGCTCGATATGGCAAAGGCTTATGACAGAGTTGAATGGTTGTTTCTGGAAGAGGCTATGCTTAAATTGGGGTTCCATCTGCGTTGGGTAAGTAGAATCATGGAATAGACAATCTAAGGGGCTAATATCCCCGGAACGTGGATTGCGCCAAGGTTGCCCTCTTTCTTCATAATTATTTCTCATTTACGTGGAAGGTTTCGGAAGTCAAAGAGAAAATTTGTGGGGTGTGGATGGCTGCTAGGGCACCTTCCATATCTCACCCTTTTTTTTTTTTTTTTTTGCGGATGATAGGTGGATGATAGGTTTCTTTTCTTGAATGTCACAAGGGGTTCGTGTGAAAGTGTTAATGAAATTCTCTGGGTATATGAAGAGGTGTCTGGGAAAAAAGTTAATTTTTCCAAATCCACGATTGCGTTGAGCCCTAATACGATGAAGAATCTAAAATCATGGTTGCTTCTTACTTGGAAATGCGAATTGTGCAGTGCCATGAGAAATACTTAGGCTTGCCGATGGTGGTGGACAAAGGACAAAAACAACTATCTGGGGCCATCAAAGACCAAGTTGGGAAGAAAATATGTGGGTGGAAAGAAAAGCTCATTTCTAGAGCGAGTAAAGAAATTTTGATCAAAGCCGTTTGGAAGGCAATACCTATATATACAATGACTTACTTTTGAATATCCAAGGGAACGTGCAAGGGGATCCATGCTCTTCTAGCAAATTATTGGTGGTTCAAAGCGAAGAATGAGAAAGGTGGGAAAATTTATGTCGGAGCAAGTGCAAGGGTGGCTTGAGTTTTGGGGATTTCAAATGTTTCAATCAGGCATTCTTGTAAAGCAAGTATGGTGGCTCTTTACTAATAATGGGTCCTTGGTGGAACAAGTTTGTCGTGCTCGCTACTATCCGACTAATACACTTCTCCGAGCGGGGGTGGGTGTTCGATCGTTTTTCATTTGGCAATCTCTTGTATGGGGGAAAGAGTTATTGCTAAGGGGATTACGTGGGCCTATTGGTAATGGGATTGCCGTGTCCGTCTACAATGGTCCTTGGATTCCATGACCAATGAGTTTCAAAATACGTTCACTACCTATTTCGCGGACCCATTGTCGAGTTTTTTATCTAACGGATGCGAGGAGTGGCGGGAAGAGATATTATACTCGGCATTTTGGCAGGAGGAAGCCGAGGCTATTATGCAAATTCCTTTGGGAACTCAACAAGGTGTAGACAGTCTCATCTGGCATTACAAAAAACACGGACGATACGCGGTCGAAAGTGGGTACTCGCTTGCCCGGTTAACAAAGGACCGCGAACAAGGATCGGTGGAAGGATTTATTGGTCGAGATAAAAACGTATGGTGCATTATATGGTCTCTAGTAGTGCCAAATAAGATCAAATCCTTGATGTGGAGAGCTATATGTAATTTCGTTCCAAGCAATCAAGTTCTTTTCCAAAAAATAAATAAAAAATATTGGTTTCCTCACGGACCTTACCTGTATGTTGTGTGCGTGGAAGGGCAGCGGAAACGCTGCTACATGCCGTCTGGAAATGTGGCAGTGCAAATGAAATTTGGGGTTCTACAGGTTGAGCGGACGTCCACGTTGAATGGAAACTGATGGAGTTTAAGGATTTATGGATCGATGAAATTCTATCAGGTAACAAAGAGGATCATAACTACTTTGCTATGTTGGTGTGGAATATTTGGGCAGCAAGATGTGAGGATCTTTTCGATGGGGAGAAGTGTAGTCGGGTAATTCGGAATCGAGCAAGGAATCTTCTTCTTGATTTTCAAGATTCCACCAAGATTGATCAAGTGCGGGACGATGAGGCTATGGAGGAACAGTGAAGGCAGCATCCACCAAGGGGCGTATTCAAAGTTACTATTGATGGAGCAATATCGTTTAAGGGATTGAATAGAGGTGTATGAGTTATTAGAAATGACGATGGTTGTGCAACACAACGCTATGGTTATTTTGATGCTTTAACAACCTAATCGCGCGTGGCAAATGAGGGGTTATCGTTTGCATATGATGCGGGATTCACTTCTATTATACTGGAACTGTTATTCAAAAGCATAGTGGATTTAATTGTTGCAAATGATGTTTGTCTTGATAAGGATAGTAGAGTATTGTAGGCGATTGATGTTTTGAAGAAGAGGTTTCTCTTATTTTTCATGCAAATGGCAACGACGTGAAGGAAACAAGGTGACTCATGAATTAGCAAAATTTGGCCTTCATAATGGAGGTCTTCATACTTGGGTGGAGAAGGAGCCACTTTGGCTTGTTCCTTTTCTGGAAGTAGATTTGGAGAATGATGATTGAATGTAAGCGGGGAGCATCTTGGCGAAGTACTCTTTTTGCCCTACCAATCTTCTTGTACTCTGTTATTTTTACAGAAATAAAAATTCAGTTTCACATCATTATCCATCTCAAAATATATTGTGGGGTTCAACAAGTGCTTGTGTTAATAGATGTTGGGTGAATAAATAAACAATTTTTTTTAATAGAATATATTGCAAGATCCAATTTGCTAATTAGAATAAGTAGCAATAAAAAAATCAATTGTTACTGTTTCAGTTTGCTAATTGGGTTGCTACTTTTGTTGGAGACGATTTTATCCTATGTGGCCCAGCAAATATAGTTTGCTAATCCTTTGCTACCTCTACTGGAGATCCTGTGAGAGATGGCCCATGGCTCCCTACTATACACTCTTTCTGATGTAGCCAAGAAATTAGATTATTTTAGATACAATAAAGATAAAAACAAAAGAAGTGACATTCAATTAAGAAAAATGATTGGAGAATGGGTAATTTATAAGTTAAAAGATTATTTACTTTTGTCATATCTCAAAAGTGAATGTTACGGTTTTTTCAAGTTGTTCCACTTCATGTAACTTCGATTGGGCGTGCTAATTTTAGGCCTATAAAGCATGAATTCAAAGAGAATGACCAGATTTTAAGTTTTTAAGACATTTGAATTTCAATATTATGTTATTTGTTTAATTCTTTTCATATTTGAACTCCTAGAATTATAAGTACCACCTTTAGGGTGCTAGGTTTGTAATCTTTCATACTTTGAATCAATAAAGTTTAAAGTTCTCTCTATTTTCTAGATATTCTTAATTACTAATGGATGTCTTTTTTTTTTTTTTTGAATGAACGACATTATCTACACTAAGGGGGTGAATGAGTTAGTTAAGTCTCACAATGTACTAGCAATAATATAGTTCAAATTCGTTTTTACCGAAAATCAAACCTAAAATCTCTCATTTATAAGTGAAGATGAATGATACTCACACATCCTATTTTACTTCTCATACACCTTTTTAATTTTTGGCCGTCGGATTGGAAGAATTGAAGAAGATCAACGGACAGAAATTATCAAGAAGTATATGAGAAGTAAAATAAAATGTGTTGATAACGCACACCATAAGTGAAAAAAAATATCACTAAATCGTAGTTGGCAATTACTAATTGATTTTTGTGCATGCCTTTGGATTTTATGTTTGTTGATCCTTTTCATTGTAAATTTTGTTGGGTCACTTTTAAACACTACAAGACAAACTGGCATTTTATAGTATGCCAAAAATGTGATAACAGGAGACGAACATTATAGAAAGGTCAACACACGTAACACTATAAAATATTGAGGTATTCGCAGATTTATCCTTTTAAACTTATAGCTCACTGCTAATTTTCTCTCTTCAACTTTAATTTTAGTCATTTATCCCCGTAAAAGTTGATAAATACCGCCGTTGTCAAATTTTGAAATTTTCCACGCATATATATCACATGGCAAACATATGAACCATTAATAAGGATTAAAAGGGTGAAATCAACGCTCATCTCCTAATCCAGCGTTCCCAACTTCATTCCTCCATTCACCATCCAATTCTTACCTAATTTCCCCAATATTAGGCCCCAAATTGTTCTTACATGAGCGAAGTTGTGGTTTCAATGTGAATTTCGTAAACGGCATTGAAGGGACAGGGAGGATCCAATCCCATCAAATTAAAAATAAAATGAACAAAATAGAGCAGTTTGAGACATGGATGATTTCCTTCATGAGGATGTGAGCAAAGAAAGCTTAATCCTAAGGTCATGGAAGTATACTTAGCTATGAACGTTGTAAACCCAAAACCTTTTTCAGTTGCATTGTTCATAAATCATATCGTACCCCTGAGCAAAATTGTAAACCAAAACCAGAATAATGACAGTTCACTCAAAGCGACACAAATTACTCGGAAAGGCAGATTGAGATGGAGCAGCTACAGAGTGTTGGATGCACCAGTTCGTGCAAGTCTACCCAGCTAGACCATTTCCCCCAACATCACCTCTCATGTTTCGATATTGGCTCTAAGCTATTATTTTAGTGGGCAAACTCATCTTTTTACATAAAGTAATGCTAATGCTCAAGGTTTTTAAAAAATGCTAGGCACTAGGCGGGTTGGAGCCTAGCGCCTAGGCGGCTAGACGGATTTAATTAAATTTATTATATAACATATAAATAAGTGCTTACTTATACTTTAAAAAATAAATAAATACTTATTGAGAATTTAGGAAAGTTAAAACTTAAGCGATATTGCCAATTTGAAAATTCACTAATTAAGTAGGTTATTCAAAAAAACCTTTAACGAAATTAAAAATAAATAAATAAAAACAATGGAACTGCCTAGCCCGCCTAGCCCCTACTTGATTTTTCTCAACGTTTCGGCCTAAATCGCATCGGTCCTCCACCGCCTAGTGCCTAGGCGGTCACCTAAGCCGATTTTTAGAACATTTGGAATAGGAACATGTGAGAATTTACGTACATAACGGATGAATTCGCAACATGAATGTGAGAGTCTTCTTTGAGCATTTGAATCAAACTCTTAATGAAAGCACCAATTTGTGGTAACAAGAATCCACCGTCTTCAATCTTAACGAATTTGTACCAACAAAACAATCAACACCTTTGATCAAGGTCAAAGCCTCATGCGCCCACGAGGAGTGGGAGTGTGGCTAATGGATCTCCGATGCTTAAGTCAACCTTGAAAAGAGTAAGTGTTTAGGGCTTAGGTGCATAGCAAATGCTTACTAGTAAATGGTGGAGATAAGGTATTTATAAGGAGGTGGCTAGGCCTAGGGTTAGGGTTTTTCCTACACAACGGTTTCCTATTGGCCAAGGTTATGTCATCCTGAATGAGAAAATAATATTCCCAAGATGTTACTTGAGAGATAATATCTTGGGATGATGATGGAGATATCCTTGATTGATTGTGATGAGGATTCCTTACTTGTGTGAGTTGATCTTTAATTGAGAATGTATTAAAAAAGATAGAATTTGATGATTAATCCTAACTTTAATACCTTTGATTTTTTCATGCCACGAGCAGGAAAGCTTTGAGCTGTCATGGTCAGCTGCTTGAATCTTTAGGGATGTTAAGCTGCACGTGAGAGTATTTGTGAGGCATGCCTATTTAATGAGAATAATTTTATCTTCTTGGAAAAAATTTCATGTGTTGTCTTCTGAATTTTTAGGATTATTTTTTGCTCAATACATATCAATAAGAGTAAGAAGTATGGCTGATTCGGTATGAGATACCAAACCAAAAACAACATACCGAATCCTGAATCGACCATTTTCGGATGGGAATCCAATGACCGATCCCGAACCGAAATTTCGATAGTCCCGAAATGTTTTCAGTATTTCGCTATGGGATCGAGACTGGGAAGCAAAACTGACGGTCCAATTCCAGATAAAAACAATTAAGTTCACTTCAAAATCCCTAATTCAGAAGCACAAATTCTGAATCCCTAAATTCAATTCAAAATAAAAATTAAAACTTCCAAACCCTAACCCACAAATTCAAAACGAATTTGAAATCAAACAAACTGTATGAACTGTGACGGAGCTACAATTCTAGAAATTCCTTACCTTGTGCAATAAGGAGTGAGGCCTGAGAAGCTTCGAGACTGAGACCGAGATCATGACCGAGAGACCTCCAATTTCAACTTTCGAGGGGGAGAATCAGAGATGTGGTCATGTTCAGTGGATGTGGTGTGTGACCGTGACTATGGATTGGTGGTGTGGGTGGATTCAGGCGATTGAGTTAGGGGAGGAAGACTGGAGGAGTGGTCAAGTTTTGGTTGGGTTTGGGCGGACGAGAGGAGTCGAGAAAGAGACTGAGTGAAAGTGAGGTGAGATCAAGAGAGAGTGGGGGTTATTTCGAACGAACAGTTGCGATTAATCTCCACCAAATCCAATGACCTATACTAATTAAAATTATACATGTAATAATAGGATTTAATTATATATATTATTTTTGCTTCTGTACGGGATGACCTAACAAACCTATACGGGAGACGAATGTCAAATCTGGATTTTTTTCATTTCGATGTCGGTTTGGTTCGGTTCGATTTCGGTATTTTTAGTATTTTTTTTCCACCCCTAGTAGGAATGTAACAACTCATTCTTAATTTTACGGTTTTTATGATTTTAAATGTATGATTTTACAAAAATACCCCTAGAGGTGAGTTTTTTACTTTCGTTGACTTTTGTGTCGTGAATCATTTGATCTACTATATTAGCATATTCGTGTAGTACTGTATAAGCTTTTTAAAACAAGAGCTTAGTATGTTTAGAAAGAAAATGGTTTTACTTAGTATTATTATTATAAACTTTGGTCCACTCACATTTCTATTTTGCGCCCCCTTCAGAACTTTGAATCGAGACATACGATCCTAGCGTCAAGGTATTCCTGTATACATACCTTCGAGTCCTCTAGGTGTAGGACCCACTTTCTTTGTAATCCCATTGTTATATATATATTACTTTCTTAGTATACTTGATTAGTTGTAAGCTCCGAATACGTTCATGCGTTACATATATCATTTTATTTAAATTTACATATTTTATTTATGTTCGTTCTTTCTTCATAACTTGCATGCATATTAAAATGGCTTTATCACCCTCGAGTGTCGGCCAAACACGTGTCCATCCTGGTGTTTGGAAGACATCAAGATCAGGGCATGTGAAGGAACCAAAAAAATCAAAGCTATTCACATAGGGCAGCTGTCAACACGCAAAGACTTTCTTGGTCGGAAAGTTTTGGAGGTAAAGGGTTAGGGTTTCTTCCAAGACTTTATCTGCATGGTCTATGATATTTTCTATATTTGGATTTAATTTATGATTCTTAACCGAAATATTACCACAAATGCAATACAATCAAAGGTTACCCTTTAGGTAATTATATTTTTTTTTAATAAAAAAATAGGGGACCATTTGGATAATTGTATTGACAATCCACAATTTGTTTAAAGTCACCCTCACCTCAGCAAACTTCCAGCTTTACCCCTTGTACTATTTTATCTTTCACCATATGAAGAAATGAGTTGAGAATTTTCTGATAGTTTTCTACTCATTAGCAGGGTAACTATAAAAGCATATGAAAATTTTAACCTTTTTATAATAATAAAGGCATTTCTAACATAAACACTTATGAAAAGTATTTTATAAGGGACACTAGGAATAATTATTATTTTTTAAATTCTACTGAAAGTAAAAAAATAAAAATTCGAATAAAATGGTTATCAAACCAATTTTTCAATCTAATAAGAGGGTGAAAACAAAAATTGAAAATGAAATGATTATCGAAGGAAGAATAATATAAATACCACAAACTGTTTGCGCTTTTCAAGTTTGCCTTCCAAAAGACTTTTCAAGTTTGAAATACATTATACCGCCTCTTTGGCTGTTTTCACTTAGAAAAATGGCTCCAGGTACCAGCAAATCAGAGACTATATTACCACTGTATCACTCGAAAAAGAAGGAAGCAGGGGCGGGAAAATCAGAGAGTACATTAACAGTGCGTTACTCGAAAGAGGAAGCGGGGACTAGTAAATCAGAGAATAAATTACCAGTTCAGCAATCGAAAACCGATATGCTTGTCAGCAAATTCGACTACGTTTTTCGCTCTGGAAGCTGTTCCGGAGTTGGAAGAGAGTCTGAGGAGGATGGGCTTTTCTGTATCGATAACCTTAAGGAACATCTCGGCATAACAGGGCACTTTCCTTTTCCTGCAGCAGCTTTCTACGGGGTCAGTAATCTAGCTAATCACTAATCTCATAGAGTTAGTTTGTTAAGTCTGGTTGTTATGTTAGTTAGGGAGACATATCCTCTCTCTCTCTCTCTCTCTCTCTCTCTCTCTCTCTCTCTCTCTCTCCACACATTGCTCAGTATTCTGTACACTGTAAATGAAATCACTTCTTCATTTCTGCCTCTATCATATCAAATTCTTTCTGAATGTGCTCTTGACCATTTTTTGTGGTGTCCTTGAGGGTACATGACATGATTTTAGCTTGTAGCTAGCTTAACAGATTAGCGTTGCTGTGCCTGTGTGATCTTTAATCATAAATAACATGCCAACATTTTGTAGGTTTTTAATGGCCCTGGTGGTGGAGCTGCAGCTTCTATCATAAGGGAGCACATTTTTAACTTCATAGTTGAAGATAAATATTTTACCTTTACCATTAAGAAGGCAATTAGGGAAGCTTTCCAAAAAGCTGGCCATGCTTTTGCTGATAGTTCATCCGTCACCAGTGCACTTACTGTCCTCTTCTTGGGAAGGTTAGTAGGCACGCAACTTTGAATTTCATTGAGATTAAGATCGTTAATCTATATTGTAATATATCTCATCTTATTGTACCAAAGCCCGGCCACGGTTAAAATGTCATATTGTGTGATTGTATAATTATTTGCCAACTGTCTATTCTTGTTCAAATGTGATGTGATCCATATGATATCCCTCTTTAGGAAAATGCTAATTGCGAGTGTTGGGGATTATCAAGCTGTGATGGGACGAAGAGGCAAGGAAGTTGTGCTGACTACCGAAGACCTAGAAGGCTCTAGATGTTCCTCAGGTCCCTTGCCTGCAGCGCCAAAAGTTCAGAAGATAATTCTGAGCGAGGAAGATTAGTTCTTGGTCCTAACGTGGAATGACTATAATATGTGCAGCCCGCATTTATTTACACATGCAAGGGAAGAATTAATGGATAACAATGATCCGGAAAGATGCGCAAGAGAACTTGTTAGAGAGGCACTCCACTGGAAGTGGGGTACCAACACGAAGAATGTGGTAATATGCTTCTCGCCCAACCCACCGCCACTTCTGTCACCTTTGTCACCTTTGTCTGAGATTTCAAACCCAGAATCTGAAAATATGGAACCTAAAAATACAGAATCTGAAAACCATGTAAGTTCCGACATTTGTTTTGGCTAATTCCTTTCTTTCTTCATTTTCCCATTCCAAGTTTATAAAAGGTAATACATAATCATACTTCTGTTGCAGGGTACTGACCTAGGTTGGATGTTTTTAGTCACGACCCTTTGCCTGGAGACCTTTTCCATTTGTTGTGAACAAGTTGCCTCTCCACACAAGCCAATGTATGCAATATACGGTCTGGTATAGGCTTTTCTGTCTCTACTCGCAAGCATGTCTGAGATGGTTTACAAGGGCAAAAGACAAAAAGTTGAATTTAGGAGGTGGTGGTTCTACGATCCACGCCCCCCTCATAGGGCTTTGGGTGATGTGATGGGGTTTTCATCAATAATTAGTGCCATCTCCCAGTGCGTTGTCGCTTCGCTTCAGCATGCTTACATAATCCGACACCGCGAAAATCCTATCAGAGCTTCCCTCTTGCCTATGATCATTACCGTATGCTTGATCGCTTTAAGCTTAATAAAGCTTAGAAACAAGACCCGTGGGAACTATGACTCACAAATTCAAGGAGGGGGATAACTACGCTTAAGGGGCTTATATCATAGGTTTCACTAGAAGTTTAGCCGCGCGTTGCAGTATGAATGTGAAAAAAAGAATTATAAATATTGTGCATAGATATGTAAAAACTATTTATATAAAACGTGTACAAAGATTTTACATAAAATATAGTATTTTACCATCTACACCAATATTATATACATACAAAGAATTGTTCAAAATATAACTACTCTTATTTTCAGGAATGTACTCCTAAAATTGTGGTGCTTTGACCACTGAGCAGCAGAGCCGGCCCTAATGGTGTGCAACAGGTGCCACCGCACAGGGCCCCTGATTCGGAAGGGTCCCCAAATTTTCATTACATGTATATAGATGCATATAAAATAGATTAGATGCAAAAGACAATCTTATTTGTGGTTCTATCGCTAGCAGTTTAGCTCTTCTTTCTTATAGCTCATGTGCTGGGTTCGAATCCCTCCAATTTGTATCGAACTCAGGACCTTTGAAGATAAGGAAAAACACCTAGCCGATCAAACAACTTATTTTTGTTGCAGTAACTTGTAATATTTTACTTTTATAGACGAAAAATTTGAAAAATAATAATAATAAATAAATATAACATTAAAAAAAATGAATGACCTCCATCTAAGTTTTGCATAAGGCCCCTAAATACTCAGGGCCAGCCCTGCTGAGCAGCAGTTGTAGCTAAGACTATTTTTGCACAACTTGTTGAGTGTTGATCTTCAATGCTATTCTACAATCGAGAGATTCATTCCTTTTTTTCTTTGGGTCCTCTGTTAGAATTCGGATCAACCAAATAAAGAATCTATAACTTAATTTCCAACCCACTATAACAAGGAGCTTCAAAACAGCACCATCAATATCATTTTGACCCAACTCAAAGGAAACTAATTGTATGTCATTAGTTTATAAACACGCAGAAAATATCCAACAAACTGATTCTATTTCATAACTAAAAACACAATTGAAATCCATCAAACAAAACAATCCTACAATTTAAATCGTTCAAACTTATTGACTCCTATAAATTCAACTAAATACTATCAAACAAAAATCCACTCTACAAAATGCCCAATAAAATTTTCACATGATTTACATCAGTCCAACCATGAACTGAAACTTTAAGCAATGGGACCCCATGCAGCGAGAATAGGACCTTGGGGTAGAATAACACTGCTTTAAAGCTTCTTCCCCTCCACCATTGCAGTTCTTCCTACAACAACTACAAATTCACTAAACATACAAAGAATTCGCTCGTATTCTAACTTATATACAACTCAGACTAGGAAACGCTAAAAACACAACCCCTAAATCCAAACTGAATCAAATTTAAAACAAATTCGAATATAATTTTCTAATATGAATGAGGGCAAATGGTTGATATTTATAATTTTGTTCACTGATCCATAATAAAAACTAAAAGGACGAAACTACGTACAAATTATAAATATTTTTCT